AGTTTCAGGTGTACTATGTACTAATTCAACATTTGTATACACTGCAAAGCAATCACCATAAGTCCAGACACCATCTGTTATCATACAGAGTTACACATACTTTCTTGTTATGAGAACTTTTAAGATTTACTTTCTTAGCAACTTTCAAAGTTACAATATAGTATTATGGACTATAGTCACCATATTATACATTACATCCCCATGATCTATTTATATTATATATGGAAGTTTGTACCTCTTGATCCCCTTTACCCATTTCATCCAATCCCATCCCCCATCCCCTTGGTAACTACTAATCTGTCCTCTGTATCTGTGAGTTTTGTTTGTTCGTTTATTTTGTTTTTAGATTTCACATATAAGTGAAATCATACATTAATAGTCTTTCTCTAATTTCATTCTTCTTGATGACTGAGTAGTATTCTATTGCATGTACATATACATATATATACTATACATATATATACACTATATGTATACTATATATAAGACCACATCTCATATATGTATCACATTTTCTTTAGCCATTGATTCATCCTTTCTCTTGCTCCTACAGAAAGGGAGACACCCTGACAAATGGATGACAAATGGAGATTTCCTATATATATATATATATCTTCCTTTCAAAAGGATAACTTTTACTCTTTTTGGAAATTTTCCTGTCTCTGCTGTTTCTCTATCAGCTCAAAATACTCTATGCCAAAGAGGCATAATTTGATATGGTATATTCTACAACACTTCACTACATTCTAACTCTAGATGGGTGAGTGCTGTTTACCCAGTTTCCACAACGCTAAAATGTGAATAGTGGTATTTTTCTGCCTCTTTGATAAGGTTGTGCTGTCAGCAAAATGGCACCAAGTGTTAGACCGGACCTTGGTTCAGGAACCTTGGTACTTGAGTTCTGGCTAAGAAAGAATTCAGAGTCAAGACTCAAACTATAAGAGAAAGTTTATTTAGAAAGTCACAGAGGTAGAAGAAGTGAATCATAGAATAAATGGGCTCAGGAAACAAGTTATAGGGGCAAAGGAAGGTCCCTTGGAACTTAGGAGAAAAGGCAAGGAAACGGCCCTCCAGGGAGGTGGTGGGGAAAGGTCCTGTTGTGCTCCATAGAGAGAACCAAAGAGGTTCCTCCATCTTGAGGGTATTTATCTTGAAATCTCAAGGGAGGTTTCTAATAGAATATTCATCACCTTTCCTGGTGTCCTTTCAGGGTCATGGTCTCTACTGATTGGTTGGTGCCAGGGCAAGAGGTCAGTATTTAATGCAGTTGGTCCTGAGGCAGCCATAGTTGCTTGTTTGATTTTGCTGCTTTTCCAGGCTTGGAGCTGAAATACAACTGAGGCCTAGATGTATTAGATGCGGGCCAGAATCTCATTGTCCTGGGGACTTAATGCTTAAGGGCTATTCTCTGCCCCCCTCATTTGGTTCCCCTCTAACAGAGTCTAACTCTCATGACTAGTAATGTGCCAGGGGAGGAAAGGTCAGGGGAGGGTCTGAAGCCTATGACAAGAGATATGCTAGAGGAGGAAAGGTTACGCTGGAAAAGAGATCCTTGTTTTCCCAGTTTTGTCCGTTGCTAGGCACCTGGGGCTCTCTGCCCTGGTGACCTTCAGTACCTGGCCTGTTGTCCTTGCTCTGCTCATATCTGTCTGACTGCCTACCACTGTTGTTATCAAGAATATGGGACATAGCCCTAACCAGTTTGGCTCAGTGGATAGAGGGTCAGCCTGCGGACTGAAGGGTCCCAGGTTCGATTCCAATCCAGGGCATGTACCTTGGTTGCAGGCACATCCCCGGTAAAGGGTGTGCAGGAGGCAGCTGATCGATGTTTCTCTCTCATCAATGTTTCTAACTCTCTATCCCTCTCCCTTCCTCTCTATAAAAAATTAATAAAATATGTATTTTTAAAAATTATAAAAATATGGGACATAATGGAAGGAAAAATATATCTTAAATAATAAAGTCCTATACAAAAGCAAATTGTTGATGGTGGAATTATTTGCAATATTAGATTATAAACTACTTCAGAGTCTGGATTAGGCTTTAATGATCATTGTATCCATCATGATGCTTAGCATAGTACTAACCAGGATTTTGTATTTAGTAGCAGCTCAAAAATAAATAAATAAGTAAATAAATAAATAAATAAAACTTTCCTTACTGACATAAGGGATGAAAGGAATGGTATCTAGTTCTTTTTCCCCTCCTGTCCCAGGTAGGATGTGGTGACATAGTTGCAATTACAAATGATTTCCATACTGACTCATGTTGGTTCTCCCTTTTACTACTACAAAGTAATCAGTTTGAGGATAAGTAAAGGACTTGCAAATTGGGCTGTTTTCCATTTATTTATAAGACAAAGCATTCCTAGAATTTTTCAAATTGTCTCACTTTGGTTCACAGACAGAATTTCTGAAATCAGTTTTTGTTCTAGGAGAACAGATTTATGAAATTGTATATCACTACATAGATATATTTTAGCTGGTGAAAAATTATGTTATGATAAATGGGAAGCATGCACTATTTTGCCTTTTTTATCTTTTACTTGTGCTTGGTGTTGTACAGATGTTGAGCCTTCTGAAATATATAGTTTTGTACTTTGCATTGCAAATAGAGTACAAGTAAGTGACCTTTGCAAAGTGTTTCTGTGTAGAAAGTCTCTGGCGTGGGTCGATTTTATTTAGGGAAGAGAGACTGGAGAACAAGTATCTAACTTTCATTCTGTGCTAAGAAATGCAGAGTATTGTCTTATTTCTGCAACTCTTAAATAGTTTAATACTTTCTTAAAAATAAAAATATAAATATATGGTGATATTCTCAGAGGGGAAACCAGAATATGTATATAGCAGTACCTATAACCCTTTGTTGATAACACTTTTTTAAAAAAAAATTAGAATAAGTCAGAAATGTGTTAATTCTTTCAGGTCCATTGGACTTGAGGGTTAAAAGATTTAATGTCACTTAGCACAGATGAGGTTATTGAGTTGCCAATGTGAATGCTAATACTTAAGTAGCATAAGAAAGAACATGGGTAGGGGTCATCTCACTTTTTAAATCATGTTGTGTTCCCTAAGTGTCAGCTGCAAAGTAATTTACCAGAAATGGTCTGATTTCCCCATTGACTTCCATTGTACAACTAGAACTCTGTTCCCATGGAAAATAAATTTGGCCCCAGGTTATAATAAAACACACTGGAAATTTCAGAAAATCGTATAAAATCAAGTATTTCAAGACACAATTATCAGTATCTGATAACATAATACAAATACAAAATATTAATATACTGTGGTGGATCTTAAAATCACATGCCCCCAAACTGTGCTGTTCTTCTTTTACAATGCTAAGTCTGTTCCCTTTCTATTTAGAAACATCTTACTTCTGCTTCACTATTGATTTTTAACAGATTTAACTAGAATTTTAGAAGGTGGACTTGGTTTCCTATATTCTTCAGAGCTAGCGTGCTTACCTTTCTCTGAAGCATTCTTATCCGTTAACATTCAAAGGAGCCCTAAAAGGTTTGGCTCAGTGGATAGAGCGTAGGCCTGCGGACTCAAGGGTCCCAGGTTCGATTCCAGTCAAGGGCATGTACCTTGGTTGCGGGCACATCCCCAGTAGGGGGTGTGCAGGAGGCAGCTAATCAATGTTTCTAACTCTCTATCCCTCTCCCTTCCTCTCTGTAAAAAATCAATAAAATATATATATTAAAAAAAAAATTCAAAGGAAATGCTCCAACATGTTCACAGTATTTGCTTCTGTTTGTTGAAAATTTGCTTACTTATTTAAGCTTTTATATTTCTAAGTCTTCTAAAGAGAGAGTTTTCTATAAATATACCTACTACAATCAGGAAAATAGTATTATAATTTATTTTTATAAGTATAAATTTAAGTATAATGAGATACCTTTAGTTGGACACCTTTAAATATATGGTTTATTTAATGCTTTGATACTGGTGGTTGTTATTACCTTTTGATAACATTTGTAAAACAATGATGTAATTAATTTCTGAATAAGTAGCTTTTGTGGAGTGTACTGCTGAGAGTGTAATCCTGGACTGGCAGCCTCAGCGTCACCTGGGAACTTGTTAGAGATTATAATGCTCAGGCCCCTGGGCTCAGGCTCAGCAAACAGCAATCTGGCTTTTAATAAGCCCTTGGAGTGGTTAAGGTTATAGAGCTACAGCAGAATCTCTCTCACTGTCTCTCCCTTGCTCCCTGTCCCTCTCCCTTCCGCTCCTCATGAGGGACACACACACACACACACACACACACACACACGGTTACATATAACAATCTTATATAGAATTTGCTATCTATATGGAAATGTGCATTAAGAATGGTGAATCTATACTTTCTAAGTTTTTTGTTGTTGCTTATTTCTACTGTATGCTGTTCATAAAAAATATGACGTAGTTTGTGGATATGTATTTTGATTTAGCAAACATGTTCAGCACGGTTATACATTAAATATAATTTATAGTTTCAAAACTCATTAACCAATATAATGACAACAGCAACTGCTTATGGACTGAATTGGATCTGCCCAGAAATCATATGCTGAAGCCCTAACCCCCAGAACCTCAGAATGTGACTGTTTGGAGATAAGGTCTTTAAAGAGGAGATTTTGTTCAAATGACATTCTAAGGGGGTGCCCTAATCCCCTGTGACTGCTGTCCTCATAAGAAGAGGAGATTAGGACACAGACAACACAGAAGGACCACTGTGTGAGGACATAGCAAGAAGATCACCATCTACAACAAGCCAAGAAGTGAGGCCACAGAAGAAATCAAACTTGCCAACGCCTTGATATTGGACTTCCAGCCTCCAGAGATGTGAGAAAACAGATTTCTGTAGTTTATGCTGCCCAGACTGTGGCATTTTATCATGGCAACCCTAGCAAACTAATACATAAGTATTTATAGAAATGATGGTATAATTCAATCTTAACATCTAATGATTGCCTTTGAGGTACTATTGGATCATATTCCTTAACAGAAACCTACAGCTTTACAAAGATCGCCAGAGAACAGTATGACAAACTGTCCACCATGCACAGCAACATGGTCAAGCTCTATGAGAATCTTGGAGACTACTTTATTTTTGACTCTAAGACAGTGAGCATAGAAGAGTTTTTTGGTGATCTCAACAACTTCCGAACTTTGTTTCTGGTGAGTAATATATCTTGAAGCATTGCAAGGCCTGATGCTTTTGTTTTTAAATAATTTCTTCTATTGGCATTTCATATAACTATTGACCATATTGATTTCATGTTATAGCCCTTTAGCAGAAATTGACAGATATTTTATACCTGTGGCATAGATGAAAATTGTTGGCTGGCTTAATGTATAATGGAGAACTGCATGAATTATCTTAAACTTTAGGTATACATGGGAATTTTTCTCCTGAAATTTTATCTTATATAATAAAGGGATAATATGCAAATTGACCAAATGGTGGAACGACCAGTTGCTATGACACACACTGACCACCAGGGGGCAGACGCTCAACAGAGGAGCTGCCCCTGGTGGTCAGTGCACTCCAAAAGGGAGAGTGCTGCTCAGCCAGAAGCCAGGAGAGCGCAGCAGCGGTGGCAAGAGCCTCTCCCGCTTCCAAGGCAGCGCTAAGGAGCAGCGAACTGAGTGGTAAGGAGCAGCGATCAGGTGGGCGGCGAGGAGTGAGGGCTCACAGACTGCGAGAGGGATGTCCAACTGCCGGCTTGAGTGGGCCTAAGCTGGCAGGCAGACATCCCCAGAGGGGTCCTGGACTACAAGAGGGCGCAGGCTGGGCTGAGGGACGTCTCCCACCCCCCAAGTGCACAAATTTTCATGCACCGGGCCTCTAGTAGAAAATAAATGAATAGGTACGGAAATGACCCTGATTTTTATACGGCATAATATTATCATTTGATCTAGCTTAAAACTCATATCTAAAATAATCTTTCAGTTAATACATTAAAATGATGTAATTGATGAACAAGTTTCTTTTATAGTCTAGATGAGAGACTGATTCTAAATTGGACTGTGTAAATGACCTTGAATGCCTAAAGTTTCTTCCAGAATATGGGCTCTTGTTTCAAACTGTAATTCTTGGGTTAACAGTAAATATTAGCATTAATTGAAGGGGAGGCAATCAGGGTGCAGTTACAATGTTAGAGGAAAACGAAAGCTTTGCTGTATGAATGCTATGGAACTACTTCTCTGCATCCAGCCAAGGAGTAGAAGAATACAGACTGTGGTTATGATAGAAAAGAAAGTTATGCACAATAGTTGATATCAAACAGGCAAAGGTCCATCTATTTTAAAGAAGGAATTCTAGCAATTATCCCAGCATTAAGACCAATTAGCAAACTAATTATTGCAGTTCAAGATATGTTTCTATCTCCAAAGCAGTTATTTGCTAAATAAGGCTAGCTCTCTTAATTGATGGTGAAATCGTTTGATTTGAGTGTGTCTTGTACAACCTGTGAGATATATGTTTGTGGAAAGCATTTGCTTGCATCTACTGCCTTAAGGCATATGACCCAGGGCACACCCCACCTTTGGTAATGGAAACTAAACCAAAAACTTTTTTGTAAATCCTTACCCCTGGGACATTTTTTCCATTGATTTCTGGAAAGAGTGCAAGGGAGGGAGGATGGAAGAGAGAGAAACATTGATGTGAAAGAGACACATCTATTGGTTGCCTCCCACATGTGCCCTGACCCAAAAAATTTTTATAGATATGATAATTTGTCTTCTTTTTTGCTAAGAATATTAGCTTATTTTGACCTTTGGTCTTTGCCCCTTAATAGACACACTTATTTTTATTTTTTTTATTTTTATTTTTTTTTTACTTTTTAGCTGGCCAATAAGTAGTAAAATGTGTTCTACTGGTAATGAGTAATTAAACTATTTTCAAAACTTAAAAGTCATAAATTTGACATGGACATATGCACACCAAGGTTATATCTACCTAGATTATTTTCAAAAAGAAAAACAAAGCATGTTGAAAGGAATGGGGACTAGAAAAGTTGACACATTGAAAAGTCCAATGGATTGTTTTTATAGCATCAATGCCATGTGCCTTGTTTTAACATGGGTCTTAAAACAATGTCTGTGTGCCCCCTCCCCCCACACCTCTCCAATATACAGACACAGAGTAGAATTTGGGGTACTTCTCCCATGTTGCAGCATTTGATGAAGGACAATTTCTGTGTGATAGCCTGTTTAGTCCTATTAGAAAGATGCTTAGAAGACTTGCTAAGAATTATAGTTGTAGTACTTCTCAATCATAACTTTTTTAAAAAATGTAAGGATATCATTGTTAAGAAGACCTGATTCTGTGTCCTTATGCTGTAAGTAACAAGCTATGTGACTGTAGATTAGTCGTTTATCTTATCTAGCTATTTGTTTATTTATTTGTTTATTCATTTAGTATAAGAAGGGATTATACTACTGACCTCTAAGAACTTTATCTTCTTTATTAGTCTATGAGTCATGGTTGGAATTTCAGCGAGAGAGTCAAGTATGTATATGTACTGGCTTCACTTTGCATGCAGCTTGAGTACAAGGAAATAATTTGTCATAGATCATTCTCATTGTGAATAAGTTGACATTCTGAAGTCTGGTTTTGTGTGCATTTAACTTAAGAACCTGCTAAGATTGAGATTGAAGCTTTCAAAACAGGTAACCAACTGCTACCCTGTGTCCTGGCCAGCCATTGCCATCTCTCTGACAGAATACTACTGCTATCACTTCTGTCTACAAATATTTATCGACTGGCTCACATAAGAACTAGGCGTGCAGTTAATCAGCTGTTTTGAACTTGGGTTGGTCAGATAACCTCTCTGGGTATTGGTTTCCTCATCTGCAAAATATGGATGATAATTCCTGCCATGCCTTCCTCACCACTGTGTGAAAACACCGTGCAACCCATGCTATGCAGATGAAGAGTATTATTGGCCATTCTTTATCCATTCATTCGGTTATTATATATTGAGGACCAACTTGATTTTGGTAGTGCTTTAGTTTAGAGATAAAAAGAAGAGAATAGTCTCTCTACATAGAGGGAGACAGACAAGTAAATGCAATATAATTTGATAGGTGCTGCCATAGGAATATATCAGGGCACTATAATAATACTAAGGAGGAACTGCCTAACCTTGCCTGAGTTGGCCAGGGAAGCCTTCATAGAGAAAGTGACATTTGGGCAGAGTCTGGAAAAATCCATAGCAATTTGACAAGCAGACTTTGACAAGCAGACTTTGACAAGCAGATTTAAGGGTTTTACACCTGACCTATAAGCCGAACACTCCTAAATCAACATCACCAACTTCAGTCAATCATTTGTGCCCACCATGTTCCTGTTTCATAGTGAGCTTAAAGTGATTTCACTCTCCCAGTGGAGGGAAAACCCCTGAAAGAGAGACAAAAATTGTAATCGCCAGAAGTTCCCATTTTCTTAGTGCTTTGTGTGTTTGGCCTCAGGGGTCTTAGCGCTAAAAGCATATTGGACTATAGATGGAAGCAATAAAATACCGGTAGTGCTAAGAAGAAAATAATAAGCGTTCTGATTCATGTGCTACCAAAAATTACTTCCCAATGAGCTCAGAGTTTCATTTTAGAAGATCTATTTGGCATGTGTAACATAAACAAAATGCACATACAAAAACATCTTCCTCAAAGAGATATCCTTGAAAGGATGGGGGAAATGAAATTAAATAGTGGATTGACATTACAGATTAAGACCTTTTTCAAAATAATCACATTCAAATTAATGAAAGCAAGATTGGGTAATCTCCATGAGCTACTGCTCTATTCTTTATTCACATGATTAATATTATTCAACTAATGAGGATATGAAAGATATTCAAGATGAATGTCCCATATATTGGCATGAAGATATATGTAATTGGAAATATTTCTCAATTCAGAGTTAAGTCTCTCTTTCCAGTTAGCTTCTCTGAGATCATCAGAGTTGAAAGCACTACTTATAATATAAGCAAGATTAATTAAGAATCCCTAAATTTAGATTGAATATTTTGTGGAAGGAAATAAAATTCCATATTTATGTAATGTCTAGATATCTTTTTTGCTATTCTTCTTTATGCTTTAGTTATTCTACTAGTTCAAATAGTTGACTGCACAATCTTTCTTCTTTTGAGATATTTTGAATAGAATATTCGAATCAGTGAACCTTCTGTGTTTTGCCACCATGCAGTCTCTTTCTTAGGCATAAAAATTAATTTCAGCTTTTGAGATAGTGTTCAAGGCAAGTATTGTGTTTTAATAACTTTCATAGCTCCAAATAAATTATAGAAAATTTTTTTCTGTTTTAAATCCATCAGTTTCCTGCTGATTCTGTGTGTTTTTGTTTTGTATTTAAAGAACAATATGTTACCTAGGCACTCAATAAATATTTCTTGTGTGTATGTTCTCATTCTATATCTCATACACTAGAAATATAGGAAAAAGGCTTTATAGAATTAGATTCATTGACATAACTAAAGAAGAACATGTTATCATTACTATTAGTCATGCTTGAAGATTTCCCCTCAACTAAATAGGTATCTGCTACTGTTCACTTGATAAACTTTAATATTTTTTTAATCAGGACTTTTCTTTAACAATTTTTGAACAGCTCTTAGAGGACCATTAAAGTGACAGTGTTAGGAGACTAAGTGGTATCTATAAATCACGGCATTTTATTCCATTGTTCCAGTCTTGCTTCTTCTACCTCCTGAGTACCCTTTCAACCCATCCATTTCCTGCAAGCCACAGATGCGATTTTAGTTCTGGGCCTCCATCTCTTAGCTGGACTATTACAACAATGTTCTGACTGGTATCTGTGTCCACTTCTCTGACCATTTCTAATTTGGGATCCATTCACCACATTTTATAGTCAGAGTGAGATCAACCAAAGAACTTGTATGCATATATACATAGCCCATGGGCACAGTCAATAGAGAGGTGAAGGCCTGGGGTGGGGCAGGGGGCTGGGTAGAGGGGAGAAATGGGGGACATCTATAATATTCTAATAAATTTAAAACAATTAAAGAAAAAAACTGAAAAAATAGCCTTAATTCCATGACTTAAAATTCTTTAATGACTTCCCTGTGGCCTCAAGATAAAATCTAAACTGTTTAAAATTAAAGTAGTTTACAAAATCAAAAGAACTGTGGTTACTTAAA